ACTTATTTATTAGTAGTTGATTATTTTTCTAGATATGTAGAAATTGCTAAGTTAACGTATACTTCAAGTAAAGAAGTAATACTTCATTTAAAATCATTTTTTGCTCGTCATGGAATTCCTCAAACGTTAAGATCAGATAACGGTCCTCAATATTCTTCATTAGAATTTAAGGAATTCGCAAAAGATTACGAATTTGAGCATATCACCAGCAGTCCTGTATATCCACAAAGCAATGGAGCTGCTGAGAAAGCCGTTAAGACTGTTAAGAATCTTATTAAGAAATCTAATGATCCTTATAAAGCATTATTAGCTTATAGGTCAACTCCATTACATTCAGGTTTTAGTCCTGCAGAATTACTATTCGGCAGAAAATTAAGAACTCAAGTTCCTGTTTCTCCTAGAGAATTGATTCCTAATTGGTCACATTTAAGTTTAGTGAGGGAAAGAGAGGAGATATATAGAGCGAAAACTAAGTGTAATTTTGATAAACGTCATAAGGTTAATCGTTTAAAAGATTTAGAACCTGAACAAAATGTTTTTATTAGAGACAGTAAATCTCATGGAACCATAGTTAAGAAACATAGATCACCTAGATCTTATATTGTTAATACTTCTAAAGGATGTTTAAGACGTAATAGATCAAATTTAGTTCCATGTGAATCGCCTCGTAATCAAGACCTTACTTATAATGATATTGAAGATTTTGAGCAACAAGAAGTTACTAATGAAAGTACGCAAAAGCATACACGATTTTCAGATGTACCTCAAGTGAATTCATTTAGTCCTCTTGTTGAGAATAATTCTAGTCCCGTTGTTAAAAATAAGTTTAGTCAAGTTTTAAGAAAGTCTAAACGTAAAAGGAAACCTGTTAAAAGATTAATCACAGAAATATAAAATGTTATTGAGTTATGAGCAGGTTTTCCAAAAGTTAAGACTTTCATATGTAAATCTATAGTCAAAATAGACAGTTAATGTTTAGTTAAGGTATTACAAGAGACTGATCATAATAACTGTAAATAAGGGGGATGTTGTATTATGTACTGTTAGATAACAAGTTTGTATTTCCCGCTATATGACGTCATCACGAGAGACACGTGATTATGATCACTCTTGTTCTAGAAGCTTGCCAATGGCCTACGAGTCTGTAATGTATCACCGATATTAAACCATTTGTATTACTGCTTACGTTCTATTTTATGAATAAACAACATAATAAAACACCGACGATAGCTCAGTTGGTAGAGCGGAGGACTGTAGATGGTTAGACTTGTAGTAATCCTTAGGTCGATGGTTCAAATCCGTCCCGTCGGAATTTTTTTTTTTTTCGTAATCAGGGTGAGCGGTTTGTCCTTTTTTTTCTTTCAAATTCGGCGTGCAGCAATTATAAACTTTGGTAAAAGACTAGTGGCTGGAGTGGGATTCGAACCCACGCCCCCGAAGAGACTGGTGCCTTAAACCAGCGCCTTAGCCAGTAAATTGACTGACGAGCTCGTCGTTTAGCTTTTTCCATTCCGTGGTGTCCGTCAAGTAGTTTTCTCAGAAGACAACATCGAAGGGATTTGAGAATAATAGTACGGCAACCATATAATATCATGGCATCGTGAATGGAAAGACTGGATCTAACAAGCCAAAATTCACAATTTCTGGTAATTGCTGTTTAGTATCCGGCCATCCTTTTCAGTTCCAGTTCTTTGGTAGCTGTAAATGCACCCTCTTGTTCGTGATTCCAAACAAATTCAGCTAGGGACGTAGTGACTCCATGGCATCAGCTTTATCAGTGGAAAAATCTGAAAAAATGAACGAATATCAGTAATATTGCCAGGTCTTGGAAAGTCTTTCACAGCTCTAGTCAATTCTGGGTTGATTTCATATCCGTTGGATCTTTAAGATGTAAACGCAAAATGGCACTGATGGGCCGATAGTCGCAAATAATCGGTTGTCGATCGATTATGTCCTACCGATTGCGACAATATATTTAGAACATGAAAAATCGATCATCATTTTCAAACACACCTTTCAGAGCAATTTTAACACGAACGCACCACAAGGGAGGCCTCTCTACTGTCTAGTCGCTGACTGGTATGGCAGACGACACCCAGGGGGCAGAACAAAATCAAAAGTATGGAAATACTTTGGCTTTCTAAAAGTTAATGAGGACGGGCCACCCATCAAATCCAATCCAAATATGGCATCTGCCATCTCGGTATAAATCCAATAGCCTGCCAATGCATCTATTTTGTTAATATACAAGCTTCTTGTGATGGAATAAAGATGAGACAGCTTCGTGGGGGGTACGCACTATGAACTTGTTGAGCTTGGTAAGGTCTATACACGTGCGAATAAATCTGTGGAATTTGACAACAATTGGGTGGCACCTTTTAGAAGGTTCCGTAAACAGGACTGATGACACATTATTGCACCATATCCTCCAACTTTTGTTTCAGTTTATCTCAAGTGAAGGTTTATGAACTAAAATGGGTTTCGTATCTGGATTCAAATGGGTCTTTAAAGTTTCACCTTTCATGTCGTTAAGTTGATCATCAGAAACACTAGGATATTATCTTACCAATGTAGCTTTAAGTTCATGCGAAATTGTATGTCCATGCGACGTTAAGGATTTGATCCAATTTTCTGGGATTAGTTCTAAGGTGAGTAATGCTTGTAGACCCAGTATAACACCAACCTGTAGGCTGTTATGCTGGCATCTAACTATCCTTCACGCTGTAGATTTTCACCGATCAGGAGGTGATAGTTGTGCAGTGTGGCCAGTAAATCGAAAAGTATCTGCTTCAAAGCCAGACAGATCCAGTGTCAAGACAAATGGTCGTTTGTTAATTTGTATGGTTACAATAAACTCATCATCACCATGACTAGATGTCCTCAAAATACTGGATCGGATATATCTGACCGTCGGTACGCTTTTGACGTGTAGAGTGACATTTTAAACACGTTTTACAGTGATACGTTCCAGGAGTTTTAGCTGTTGGCATATGAGATTTAATCTTGGAAGTTGTGGGTTCGCTTTAGTCTTGGCATTCTGATAGCACGAGGCACGATTAATACCATTTCATCCTTCAATCTCGGAAACTTGCTGTGCTGACGACTCCTGTGAACTGCAAATGTCGATTGCTTTTGTTAGAGTTAATCCAGAAGATTTGGCTAGAAGAAGTTTACGAACATCACTGCTGTTTATGCCTACGATGATTCTATCACGTATGAGACGATGGTGAAGATCCCCAGGAAAATTGCAAGTTTTTAAAAGTTCCTCGACTTCCGTTAGAAAATCATCAAAAGTTTCATTCACTGCCTGTATGTTTATACAACTTCGTTAAGGTTTCCTTGGGTATAAATTTCCAAACGACGCAGTATCTCGTTTGACTGTCTTCTTTGAGCATCTGTTAGTGACAAATTCCTAAGATAAGCCGCTTTCAATAATGAAACTTAGGTGTTAATTGGCAGAACATTTATGCTGTATATATACAATATAATTATATAATATCCCATCTTTCTTTCTAAGTTTTGAAATTTTCACCTTTGTCTACTGAAAGATCAACTTTGTCCGGTAGAAGGTCAAACTGGATTTAGTTATGAATAGGATTAGGAACGTTTATCTGTATTACTTCAGCTTTCGGGGCATCAGCATTTTGATTTATTCCATTGCCCGCCATGATTTCTCAATAACAAAAATGGATCGATTTTCCGATTGTCATTACTCTCTTCTCTGTAATATTTACTGTCTTTTGGACGACGGTGGCATGTACAACTGTCGCAGCGCCATGTTATGCTCGATGAAGAGTAACTTTTAAGATTTATTAGCAAGCATCGTCAAGATTACAGAGAGACACTATTATTACAGTGGTGTAACCTATTTTCGTGGATATAAGGATTCAACAACGAATTGCGTCAAAGTTAAAAAAAACGAATTTATTTTTATGTCTAAGATGTTTCCTCAGACATTCTACAAAATAATTAAAATTGGTTTATTTCGATTTTCTTTATGAATCCTTCACTTTGACCCATATTTCATGAGCAACCAACTCGGCAACGGCGGCAGAATGCATCACCTATTTTCGTGTACAATGTTTGATCTATAAATAAGTCTCGAAAAACACGTTGTGTGGATACCGGGTGGTATAATTAACTTCTCTTAGTATTTATCTTTAATGTCAATTCATTATAACTAGTGACAATTCCTTCAAAGTACCACGATTTTAAAAAAAAATAGAGACTGACAAAATAAGATACGTAGCGTGATTTATTGCTAAAAGTCACTGAAACAACATAAGAATATGGTCCACTTTGTGTTCCATAGAAATTTTCTTCTGATACGGAATCCGCTAGTTGATAACGTGACTTCATTCGTTGGACTACATTCTAAGAGACGACACTTGGAATTCCGATTACCGCTTGGGATTATAAGGAAATTCGGTCGATAAAAAATGTTGACGTTTGGTAATAAGTGAAACCCGCCATTTTGTATTTGTCAAAGTATACATTAATACATTTTACCATGCTTGAAACTACTGAATTCATTCTACTAGCTGATATTGTACAGTAAACCCAGGTTTATCAAAACAAGCAAATGCGGAGGTCACGCGAGGTCGCACATGTAAATTATTAATCCTTTCCGGAAATCCACGAAAAATAGGTTTCCACGAAATTAGGTTACTTGACTGGTACTAATTGATTTCCTGTAAGATGTACACGGGAGTCAAAAGGAAGCAGTCCTTCATCAAAAACACCTAAAAAGTATAGCAGAAGTCTTTCACCAAATCATTCTACTAACTAACTAATTTGCACATAATTAATAGACTTATCTATTGCTCTGTGACCTAGGCCAGTGCTTTCATTGAGACTCGTCTCAATACACCCTAACACCAACAAATAAACAGCTTTTTATTACGCCCACATTCAAATGTGGTCGTATATTGTCGTCGTCCCTGTCCGTCCGTCGGTCCGTCCGTCCACAATTGTCTTGTGAACGCAATAGAGACAACAGTTTTCATCCAATTTAGATGGAATTTGGTGTTAATATTTATAACGATGAGATCTTGGAAAAGTTCGAATTTGGCTATCTTTCGATGAACGTTTTTTGAGTTAGTATCCTTGACTTTTAAAAAACGCGTCAAAATTTGGTTGTGAACACAATAGAGCCTACAGTTTTCATCCAATTTAAATGAAATTTGGTGTTGATATTTATAATGATGAGATCTTGGAAAAGTTTGAATTTGGCTATCTTTCGATGAATGGTTTTGGAGTTATTGCCCTTGACTTATGAAAAACGCGTCAAAATTGGGTTGTTAACACAATAAAGACTACAGTTTTCATCCAATTTAAATGAAATTTAGTGTTAATATTTATAATGATGAGATCTTGGAAAGTTTAGAATTTTGCTGTCTTTTTGAGTTATTGCCCTTGATTTTAGAAAAACGCTTCAAAATTTCTTTGTGAACACAATAGAGACTACAGTTTTCATCCAATTTCAATGAAATTTGGTATGATCATTTATAATGATGAGATCTTAGTCAAGATTGAATTTGACAATTTTTCGATCAACGGAAGTTGAGTTATTGCCCATGACTTAGTGAAAACGCATCAAAATTTGTTATTGAGGTTACAGTTTATGTCAGAATTTTATTAAATAATGTGTGTTTGTTTAAATCAACCATATATTGCACAAATTAGATTTTTGGTATGATTTGACACAGATAGTTGACTGCCCTTGATATACTGAAAATGTATCAAGAAAGTGGGCGTATCTTGCCAGGTGCACTAATTGTTTACATTTGTGCTTGTATGCCATTAGAATCCTTCTCTTTTTTTTTTTATATATATATATATATACGTTGACACTTTTTTCTTCACATTGTCCATATTTCATTAATATTGACAGAACTTCAAGGGCCTGTACGCAGTCAAATGACGCTTTGTCGCCTTCGGTCTATTAAAGCTCCTTGGGCTCTACTGGGTTTGTTCGACAACGCGATTAATGAGAAAAGAATAGTAATGGGAGATAACTACGTTTTGTTTATTTACTCGATTAGTAAACGCACGTCTTCTGATTTTTTATTTTTAGTGTTCAGAGGTAAAACGAAATCTTCAAAATCTGTTTTTAATGGTAATTAAAAGATTAGATTTTTGAAGAATTCCATCAGATTTCCTTTTCTTCTAGAAATATTTACATATATGTATCTTTTGTAACTGACGTGGCAAGTGAAGCGATAAACTGTAATGCAAGTTCAACCATATTCACACAACAAAAACATTCACATGAAACGTCAATCACACAACTTTCATGAATTATATCGGTAGAAAATCTTTTGATATGTTTCGATGGAGGTTGAGAACAAAAGCGATATTTCTTTATCTGGGATCTCTGTGTGTTATTCTTGTCTTCCTTGGACTTTTTACACTCAATGGAGATTTTCTACGGGATAAAAAAGCCGAAGAGTTGGAAAGGGTAAGTAGACAGCTGCCCGTTGTTGAAATTTTATTTGATAACACTAATACGGTAATGCCTTTATCTATATCATTTATTTAATGCAAGACTACTGAAGGCCTGTTATTGTATAGACTACTTATCAGTCATAGATAGATTGATAGGCACCTGCATTCAGTATCTTTAAACCCGGTTTCCCCCTGTCAGTGATGCAGGTAAGAGGGGCTGACATTCAGATGGGACAATAAACCAAGACAGTGTACTACAGGCGGTGAAAATACTACAGTGGTGTAACCTATTTTCGTGGATATAAGGATTCAACACCGAATTTCGTCAAAGTTAAAAAAACGAAAAAAAAATTTTATGCCTTAGATGTTTCCTCAGATATTCTACAAAATAATTAAAATTGGTTTATTTCGATTTTCTTTATGAATCCTTCACTTTGACCCATATTTCATGAGCAACCATCTCGGCAACGGCGGCAGAATGCGTCACCTATTTTCGTGTACAATGTTTGATCTATAAATAAGTCTAGAAAAACACGTTGTGTGGATACCGGGTGGTATAATTAACTTCTCTTAGTATTTATCTTTATCAATTCATTATAACTAGTGACAATTCCTTGAAAGAACCACGATTTAAAAAAGAAAATAGAGACTGACAAAATATGATACGTAGCGTGATTTATTGCTAAAAGTCACTGAAACAACATAAGAATATGGTCCACTTTGTGTTCCATAGAAATTTTCTGCTGACAAGGAATCCGCTAGTTGATCACGTGACTTCATTCGTTGGAATATATTCTAGCAGACGACACTTGGAATTCCGATTACCACTTGGGATTATAAGGAAATTCGGCCCATTAAAAATGGTGACATTTGGTAATAAGTGAAATCCGCCATTTTGTATTTGTCAAAGTATACAGTCGAGTAACCTAATTTCGTGGAAACCTATTATTCGTGGATTTCCGAAAATGATTAATAATTTACATGAGCGACCTTGC